CCAACACTAAATTGGCCATGGTTTTGTATACTTTTGACTAAAGTGACAGTGGTGTATTGGATCATAAAATATATAGCAAAATGGATTACAGTACGGGCGATTTGTTTATATTAGGTGCATCTGCATAAAATACAATAAACAATCTACAAGCAGAGATAAATACAATAAAACTTATAGAAATGAAATGAACAGAGCTTTATTGTTTTCCAATGAGTCTAACAGGTAGAGTAATTGAATAAAATGTAAAATAATACCGCTATAGTCTTCATTTTATTAATAATTAAATAAATTAGCTTTTTATTAAAGTTACAAACGCTGCAATTTACTAGACCTGAATGCTTTTAAAATCCTCTTACAGTCACAGCCCTCAGAAACACAAGCAAATGATAAACTATAATCCAGACTCAACATGACGATGGTGTTTAAAACAGTATTTACTACAAATGACTATAGTATAGTTTTTTTTTTTTTTTTTTTTTGTTTAATTTGGGATCATACTGCAATTATATTTATCCAATGTCATAAGGCAAAAAAGTCAACTTTACTTCGTCTTTCAGTTTTCCTCCACTAGAGGTCGCTGCAATTATCAGATTCTCCACAGGTCTGATTCTTTCAGCTCCCGCCGGGTTCAGTGGCGCGCGCCTGTAATCCAAGCTGCTGGGAGGCTGAGTCTGCGGATCTCTTGAGCTCAGGGCTTCTGGGCTGCAGGTGACTATGTTGATCAGGTGTCCGCACTAAGTTCGGTATCGATATGGTGCTCCTGGGTGAGCTCGGGACCGCCAGGTCGTTTAAGGAGGGGTGAACCGGCCCAGGTCGGAAACGGAGCAGGTCAAAGCTCCCGTGCCGATCAGTAGTGGGATCGCGCCTGTGAATAGACACTTCAGTTCAGCCTGAGCGACACAGAGAGACGCAGACTTTTACATTAGTTTTTTTTTTTTTAACTTTGATTTGTCTTTCTAAATGTAAAACTGAAGAAATAAAGATTTAGAGATGTATGATGACTATGCATTATTAATAGTAAGTAATAATTAAAAGTTTACTAGCAGACTTCAGAAAGTTTATTTGTAAACAAAATACAAAAATCATCTCAATTTCATGTCTATATTTTAAAAATATGCCTTAGACAGAAATATATTGAATTTAATTGAAAAAATATAAAAAAAAAAATATATATATATATAGAATAATTTTACTTTAAACATAAATGGCACATTATAATTTTTGACCCCATCAGAAACAAAAGTACCACACGGGTAGGTCACAACCAGATTTACTGGCTTCATCATGTTTGTTTTAATTATATCTGACTATGACATTGTTAATAATTTTTTAATACCACCTGATATTGACGGCGAAAAAGCTTCCAGTACAAAACGGCATTTTTATTGATAAATTAGTTATAGAGTATTATGCCAAATGCAGTTTTAATCTAGAAAGTTTTGTTTAATAAAATAGAGGAGGGGGATATATTTAAGAAATTAATAACACTTAAAAATAGTAAAGCAACAGGGTTAGATAATATTCCAGTGCAGTTCCCTCAAAGACTCCCTAAATGCGTCACTCCGATGGTTACACATATTATCAATTCTTCTATTTGTCAAGGTAAAGTTGAAAAAAGCAAGAGTTATTCCTATTTTTAAGAAAGGTAGTAGGTTTGAGGTTAATAATTCTAGGCTGGTATCAATTTTGAGTGCTTTGTCAAAAGGGAGGGAAAAAGTTATTTATTAGCACATTGAAAAATATTGTTTAAAATGTGACGTATTGTAGAGTTTCAATCGGGTTTTAGGAAAAATCATTCCACTGATTCAACAGTTTCTTTTATTTAACAAATTATATAAAGAGCGATATGGATAAAGGAAGTTAAGTGGGAGGGTTTTCTTAGACCTGCAAAAAGCTTTCAATACAGTCGATCACAGGATATTGATTTTAAAAGTAAAGGCAATGGGTTTTGGTGTTTTGGCCTGTAAATGCATGAAGTCTTAACTTGAAAACAGATGTCAAATAGTAGATTTAAATGGTGTGTTTTCAGATTATTCAACCGTTTCTTATGGGGTTTCACAAGGCAGTGTTTTAGGTCCTTTGCTTTTTTAATATACATCAATGATTTGAAAATGGCCTGTTCAAAAAAGCTTTTGTTAAATGCGGATGATGCAGCAATAATTGTGTCTCATGAGAGGAAGGAATTTATTGAAAATGAAAAAAGTAAACAAACTGAGGAAGTCTCTTAATGGATTAACCTTAATAAATTGTCCTTACACTTGTGTAAACCAGAATTTATTTTATTTGGTTCAGCTGCGAAACTGAGAAAATGTGTCAGATCAGAGGTAAAAGTAGAGCATCAAATTAATGCACCCAAACATGAAGGGAAATATTTAGGTTTTATTTCAGACAGTAATTTGACAGGTGAGAAGATGGCTGTTATAGTCCATTCAAAAGTTCTAAAATTAAGTTTTTAGCAAGACAGACAGAGCTCTTAGATTTCCAAACTTTACAAATATTGGCTAGTGCATTAGTGCAGTCATACTTTGACTATGCTGCAGTCTTTTGGTACAGCAGTAGTTCCACAAAAATGAAAAATAAATTGCAGACGGCCCAAAATAAGTTGCAGAATTGTTATCAAAGTACTTCTACTGACACATTTAAATAATGAATATTATAGTCAAATTAATTTATTAAAAGTTGGAAAAAGAGTCACTTTTCTGAAATTGGTGATGGTGTTTAAGATTTTAAAGAAAATGGTCCCAAAATATTTACTTATTAAGTTTTAGTTAGTGAGGTACACTGTCATTCTACAAGAGCGAGTAGCAGGGGTATTTGTCCTTGTAGATTTAAGAGTGAAACAGGTAGAAAGTCTTTCTGTGTACTGTTGCTTGGAATATACTGCCGAGGAGTTTTAAAGAGATTCAATTTGAAAGTTTTTAGAGAGGAAATTAAAAAATGGCTGTTTTACGGTTGAAGTTGAGGATTTTTGTTGTGCTGAGTTTCTGAGCTGATGATGTTTGCACTTTATGATTTGCTCGTTCATTTTTTAAGAATATCGATGACCACGATGGAAATCAGCCTGTGGCTTTTTGTGTATTTTATCCTCGACAGTTTTTAAGATATGAATGTCAAACTGGACTTGTTTGTATATTTTTGTTAAAATTGTTAAATTAAATCAATCAATCAATTTATTCATTCATTTTCCTTTAGCTTAGTCCCTTTATTAATCTGGGGTCGCCACAGTGAAATGAACTGCCAACTTATCCAGCATATGTTTTACACAGCGGATACCCTTCCTGCTGCAACCCAGTACTGGGAAATATCCATACACCCTCATTCACACACATACACTATGACTAATTTAGCTTATTCATTCACCTATACAGCACATGTCTTTAGAGCACCCAGAGGAAACCCACATGAACACGGAGAGAGCATGCAAACTCCACACAGAAATGCCATCTGACCCAGCCGGGACTCCCACCAGCGACCTTCCTACAGTGAGGCCTTATATATAAAGAAATCTATTTGCTTAAGTCAGCTGAACAGTAAACAACAACAGCAATAGAAACCACCAAAGGACACCATATGAACACAGCCAAAATGACTTATTAGAGCATGCACATCTTTGTCATTCCAATGGATTTTTAAAAATATGTACATGCCGCCTTTTCTTCCATGTTTCTTGAACTTTTCCCCTTTATGAGGAAAACTATTGAATACTATAAAAGCTGTTCAGCGTTTTTTTTTCTTCTGATTAACATTTAATAGACTTTAACTAAAAGTTTTAGATTCTGAGCAGGACAGCACACTGGTTCTCCCGCAGCATGTTTGTTCATCATTTCTATCTTAATGTGTTGATCATTTTCTGTTGTGTTTCTGTATTGTGTGAAGGTCACCCAGTCCACAGTTTATGCTGCTATAATCTTTATTCAGTTTTATTCATAAACTATGTACAATATATACACTGTGCTCACGTCGGCTCCAGGTCTCTTGGGTGAAGGTCTCTCAGTGACGTGGTCTCTTCTGGTCGCCGTGCGTCTCTGGTGGAGATGGGGAGCGGGAACGTTTCCCTCTGGCGTCCTGGACTGAAGATGCTGCACCAGCTGAGGAAGAGGAGGACAGCGGCTTGGTCTGGCAGGAGACGGACGGCCTCTTTTTCTTCTCAGCAGCATAGGCCTCACTGAACAGATCGAGCGCAAACACACACAAGCAGACATAATGTGAGATTTTCACAAACACTAGAACATGCTGCAATGCCAAGTACAGTTTACTCACGCGTCTATGATGGGAATGACGTATTTGCCGCTGCCGTCCATCATGACTCCCTTTCGGTTTGGGTCGTCCACCTCCAACAGGAAGCTGCGTGGAATCCCTGTGCTCCTCCTGATGCGCTTGTGCGGAGCAGAGCTGCTGCCCTGTGAATTCATGAGTGACAGTCAAACGACAGAGCAAACAATCTGACTGATGGAGACAAGAGCTCAAGTTCACAGCAACCATAAGCTTAGAAAACCCAGTTACCCCTTTAGAGGGGCAGTGCCTAATGTGGTGTCCTGGGATCCCACAGTGGAAGCAGACATAGTTGGGTGGAAGAAGCCCAAGCAGTGTCATGGCCTCACTGATGAACATCAGAACCATGAGAATCAGCTCTAACATTTCTCCCATAACCAAACCTGTCAGTGTCTGAACGCTCACCTGCTGGAGTAGTAGCACAGACTGGACTGGTACATCACCGCTTTTAGCTTGTCCTCCTCTGATGCCTTTGCCTCAGCCAGATTCTCAGTCTGTTTCACAGGCATTTGCACATTAGAATTTAATTTCACTGATTTGCTCTAAATAAACACCCTCAAATCTCCCTAAGAAGCTGTGTGTGTTTGTGTGTCTGTGTTTGTGTGTATTGTTTGCTAAACACTGTGTTTTGATATTCTGCACTACATGTCATTATGACGCCTCAAATGCAAACACTGCAGTTCAATACAGAGCAGCACAGTGGGGTGAATTAATCATTTGTTCAATACCTTCAACAGCTGCTCCAGTGAGAGGAGTGAAGAATCACCTGTTTGAGAAGATTTGGCTGATGGTCCAGCTTGATGTCTGCAAAACAAAGGAGCTTGTGTGACTAAAACACCACAGACAGACTCAAACTCTTGATTCAACATCTATCAGAGGATGATTGCGCTCATTTCACATGACTTACCCAACAAATCTTCTGTTGGAGGACTTCAGTCCAGCCGCAGGGACCCGTCTGATGATGACCGACGTGTTTTTGGGGATGAGAGCATCATCATCTGTGTATTCTGACACCAAAATAAAGTTTGAATATAGCAATAATCATTTACCATGGTATACTTTGAGCGCCATTAGCATTTTAAAACACTGAAAACATCACTATATGTCACCATCAGAGTCATGATAACACATGTCAGCTTCTACAAGTCTGTCTGATAACACATCTAATGTTAGTGTAATATAGTTTAAGTGGCTTTTCCTCATCTCACCTTCATCAGTTTGGGCTTTGCTGATCTTCAGCTGGCAGAACTTCAGCCTCTCGCGCCTCATGATCTGCCGCTTCAGCTCTCCCACAGTGATGTTGAGGCCCTCAAACTGGAGCGAGTCGTGGGTGAGTCGACTCTGAAACCTGTAATGAACACAAGACATACTGAACACAAAACACAGTGTGATAGCAAGGGTCAAACCTGAATGAAGGGAGCAGCAGGCGATCAATCGATGTATCCAACAATCAATAATATCAATAATCTGCGAATAAGTTGCCACGAAGAACGCCGAGATCAGATGCCAATGACAGAGCGGAGTTCAAAACAACACAAAAAGAACCGTTGCCAAGGATGCTGACGATCACGTGACGAGGCGCTAAAAAACTTCCGCGTTATTTTCTCATAAATAATATTGAAAGCATTACTATGATAATAATAAAATAAACAGCAGAACAGTTGGACATCTCTGAATAAAACACAGCAGCGTTTCCGTACACGAATGATTCTGGCCTTTGTAAAGAGTCGGGCGAGTCAATGAATCAGTGATTCGTGGCTGAATGAATCACTCAAAGCATCACTCGATTAAAGCGGTCTCTTGCTGCCACCTATTGGCGATTTGTTTTTCCGTTTTTAAAGTATTTTAACACTTTTTTTAAGGCACCTTCAAATGTATTTTCTACTAAAGTTCATATCCGTTAAAAATGATTTAAAACTCTCTAAGCTCATCATTTCTTGATGCGTTTATAATGTTAATATAAATCCATTCATGTTTGTGTTTGATCTTCATTATGTGTTAAAATCAATACAATATTAAAGTTGCATTATCTAAATCCAAATTTTAGTTCAAAGCTTTATTATACAGCAATATTTCTATACATTTCTGTAAAGATACTGTCTATTTGAGTCAGAAGATTTTCAGTGTGTGTGTGTGTGTGTGTGTGTGTGTGTGTGTGTGTGTGTGTGTGTGTGTGGCAGTGGATTACAGTAAATGTAGAAGTGATCAGAAGTGTGTGATATTTATTGTCTCTGATATTTCAAAACACATTTTAAGAGTCCAAAAGATTTACTGCCTGATGAAGCCTGTTATAATGCAGTTATGATGACCCTATAAATCTAGAATTGTCAGAACAATAAAAATGAGGGAAGAGATTATTTAGTATTTCTCCTCTTTTTTGTATGTGTAAGTGCTCCTTGAAGAAAAGTCTGCGTCTCTCTGTGTTGCTCAGGATGCACTGCAGTGTCTATTCACAGGCGCGATCCCACTACTGATCGGCACGGGTGCTTTGACCTGCTCCGTCTCGGGCCGGTTCACCCCTCCTTAAACGACCTGGTGGTCCCGAGCTCCCCCAGGAGAACCATATTGATACCGAACTTAGCGCGGACACCCGATCGACATAGTCCACTGCAGCCCAGAAGCCCTGAGCTCAAGCGATCCGCAGACTCAGCCTCCCAGCAGCTTGGATTACAGGCGCGCGCCACTGAACCCGGCGGGAGCTGAGAGAATCAGAGCTGTGGAGAATCTGATCATCACAGCGACCTCTAGTAGAGGAAAAATGAATGCTGAAGTAAATTTGACTTTTATTGGTCTTATGGCACTGAATAAAAATATTTGTCCCAAATAAAAAAATTATATAGTTATTTATAGTAAAGACTATAGTGTTTTGGGACCACACAGTAAAGTTCATTACACTGTATAATATAAAAAACAAACATTTGTGCTTTATTTAAAGGTCAAGTCAGGTTTACTGTTGTATAGCTGCATGACAATGGATAAAAAAAAACTAATAAAAACACACATCTAGAAGACAAGAGTAAGCAGTAAAGTACACTGAGAAAAGGTGTTCAATTGCTGTTTTTTTGCATTAACAAAGAGTCATAAACACAATTTTACGCAAATGTATATTTTATAAAATATGTAATGAATAATACATATAGAATTAATATTTTCATAACTAAATTATTTATAATGTGTCATTTAACAGTAAAACATCTTGTCAAATAGGCCACAGTATACATCAGGAAATGAAAAGCTTTTAAATGACAACAGAAAAGCAGTTCAGCGACTAACATTCACTCATTCAGTGATATCTCATTTATTCATTCATTCACTAATTAAGTCAATACCTTTTCAGTCACTAAATATGGTGTCAGATGCAGATGTGGCCTCTATCAGTGTAATGTAATCTACATCTTATATTGTACAATGACCCTGATCTGTTGGTTGCAGATTAATAATCACAAACATAATTTTCTATTCATAAAAGCTAAAAACTTATTTAGTGTCAGAGAGTACAAAGTGATTTTAGTTTACCCTCTAATATTGCAACTGTTTAGTCTTTAGACCAAAGAGTTTGTGGTTTTTAATCTGTGTTGTTGCTGCTTTATTTCATCACCTCAGTGTTAGTGTGCAATTCAGAATAATGTGCAGCTAAAGATGAAACAGTCTATCAATTCATGCCACAGACTGTGTCAGATTCTCTCAAGTCTTATATTGAAAGCACTGATGGTCACAACCGCATCTGACACCACAGTTAGTATCTCAGCAAGGGTTAAATGATCATTGTTTATCTCAGTTAATGATTAGTTATTCACGATAAGGAGCAGGTATTAAAGTGGAAGATTAAACCATTAAAGTTGTACTTTTTCAGAGGTTCACTGTTTGCACACTTAATCTTAAATGGATAGTTCACCGCATAATTATGATTGTGAAAATCCTAAATTTAAATTTTTGACTGAAATATCTCTTAGCTGCACAATATTTCAGCATCGATATCTCAATGCGATCATTCACAAAACTGGGTCAGTTGTCATTTTTGTGTGAAGTTTGCATGTTCTCCCCGTGTTTGCAAGACATGCGGTATAGGTGAATTAAATAAGCTAAACTGCCCGTAGTGTATGGGTATGAATACAAGAGTGTGTGGGTGTTTCCCATTGGGTTGCAGCTGGAAGGGCATCTGCTGCGTATGCTGAATAAATTGGTGATTTCTTCTGTTACAATTCCCCAGATTAATGAAGGCACTAATCCAAAATGAAAATGAATGAATGAATGAGTCTAGATAATAGTTTAGCCTTTGAATATGTTATGAGGCCTGTGACTAAAAAAGGAACTTAAAAGCATTCAGGACTAATAAATTGCACATTTGTAATTTTAATAACAAAATAATTTATTTTTATATTTATAAAATGAAGACTATAATGGTATTATTTTACATTTGATTTTCAAAATGCTGTACCTAAAGACTGTTAGACTCCTCAGAAAACAATAAAGCCCTGTTCATTTCATTTCTACAATTTTTTCATTGAATTTATCTCTGCTCATAGACTATTATAATTTATGCAGATGCACATCTATCATAAACAAATCACCCATTTTGTATTTTTTCTACAGCTATATGTATTATGATACAATAAACCACTTTTACTTTAGTAAAAAAATAAAATATACCACAGTATTTATTACATTTTATCAGTTAATAGTTAATACAGAATGTTGTGGCATTCACAAAAAAGCATAATGATCTTTGGTTCTAAAACATTATATTACGACAAGATAACATACAAATTGTTTAATTTGTGACCATACTATACTGCTGTTTATTTTTATTCAATGTCATAAGGCTATGAAGTCAGTTTTTATTCATCATTCAGTTTTCCTCCACTAGAGGTCGCTGTGATGATCAGATTCTCCACAGCTCTGATTCTCTCAGCTCTCGCCGGGTTCAGTGGCGCGCGCCTGTAATCCAAGTTACTGGGAGGCTGAGGCTGCGGATCGCTTGAGTTCAGGGCTTCTGGACTGCAGTGGACTATGTTGATCGGGTGTCCACGCTAAGTTCGGTATCGATATGGTGCTGCTGGGGGAGCTTGGGACCACCAGGTCGTTTAAGGAGGGGTGAACCGACCCAGGCCGGAGACGGAGCAGGTCAAAGCCCCCGTGCTGATCAGTAGTGTGATCGCGCCTGTGAATAGACACTGCAGTGCAGCCTGAGCGACACAGACAGACGCAGACTTTTTAATTGTTCTTCGTGTATTAAAACGAGATATTTAAAATTATCATGGTAAACCATCACTGACTAAATTATTTAATGTATTATTACTATTAGTAGTCTATGAGAAATTAAACAATGTAAGCAACACAAAATAAGATGCTTGCTTTTGCCCATTTTTGGTGATTTGTTCATGTAATATACAGATAAAATAAAATAGCATACTTAGTAATCCTGAGTCTGACCATTTTACTTGACTAAACATCCCTAGTGAATCCTCAATGGCAGTCTATGTCTGTACACAATACATGATTCTGTGTGCCAAATTATTATGCTTGCTAAGTAGAGAGGAAAAATATTTGAAGTGAAAAACGTTATTTACTTTGCATGTAAAGTATACATTGACCACAGAAATTGAAAAAAATCTAATTTTAGCCTTTTTTTAAGGAACGATATATTTACAATTTACTGCTCATTTGATAGTAATCATTTGTCATTCACTACTTTGTTTCCTTTAAGTTAACAATCAAGTGCAAAGCCATAATTACCACTATTGAAAAGATGAAGTATTAAAAATGTTACAAATGGAATTGATAAATCTGTAAATCTACATCTGTATATATATATATATATATATATATATATATATATATATTTTTTTTTTTTTTTTTTTTATATATATATATATATATATATATATATATATATAAGG